CTTTGCAGCAGTAATTTGGTCACATGTATCAAGGGCCTTAAAAATATTCATAAACTTGCCCCAGTAAGTCTCCTTTTAAATGAATCTGTCCCACAGAGATAATTTGAGATTTAGACAACAGTTGAAACACAAAGATTTTCTACAGCATTTCATACAATTACCAAAAAAATTAAGAAAATGCCCAACAAAAGAAAGATAAATACACAAAATAAATTGTTAAATAGTCATTAAAAACCATATTCAGAAGAATTTTAAATGGCATAAAGAAAGCTCACACTATGCAATGTCAGTTAAAAAGGAATATGTATCATCATTAAAATGTATGATTTCATGCTGGAAAGGGTGTGGAGGAAAGGGAACCCTCCTACACTGTTGATGGGAATGTAAATTGGTGGAGCCACTATAGAAAACAGTATGGAGGGTCCTTAAAAAACTAAAAATAGAGTTATCATATGAGCCAGCAATCCCCCTCTGGGCATATATCCAGACAAAACTATAATTTGAAAAGACGCATGTGCCCCGATGTTGATAGTAGCACTATTTACAATAGCCAAGATGTGGAAACAACGTAAATGTCCAACAACAGATGAATGGATAAAGGAGATGTGGTACATATATACAGTGGAATATTACTCAGCCATAAAAAAGAATGAAATAATGCCATTATCATACTAAGTGAAGTAAGTCAGACAGAGAAAGACAAATACCATATGATATCACTTATATGTAGAATCTAAAAGATAACACAAATGAACTTATCTACGAAACAGAAACAGAAACATGCTCACAGACATAGAGAACAGACTTGTGGTTGCCAAGGGGGAGGGGGTACAGGAGAGGGTTGGATTAGGAGTTTGGGACTAGCAGATGCAAACTATTATTTATAGAATGGATAAACAATAAGGTCCTACTGTATAGCACAGGGAACTATATTCAATATCCTGTAATAAACCATAATGGAAAAGAATATGAAAAAAATAAAATGTATGATTTCAGTCAATGCACACAGAAGAAAAAAAAAAAAGAAATTTACCAATGTGTTAACAATGATTACTACTGAGTTGAAGAAATCTGGGTGATTTTTAGTATCATCTTTATATTTCTTCCGTATTTTCCAGAATTTCTGAAGGCCTTTTTTAGTAATCAGAAAAATGAGATTTTTGTTTTGCTTCGCTTTTTTTTTTTTTTTTTTGCGGTACGCGGGCCTCTCACCGCTGTGGCCTCTCCCGCCGCGGAGCACAGGCTCCGGACGCGCAGGCCCAGCGGCCACGGCTCACGGGCCCAGCCGCTCCGCGGCACGTGGGATCCTCCCGGACCGGGGCACGAACCCGCGTCCCCCGCATCGGCAGGCGGACTCCCAACCACTGCGCCACCAGGGAAGCCCGCTTTGCTTTGTTTTTAATGCATAATCTCTGTAGTTAAAACAGATAAATTCTGACAATAACCTGCCTGCTTAGGAGCTTGGGCAAGTTATTTAAGCACTCTTGATAACTCGGTTTGATCCACCACAAAATGGGGGAAAGAATACCTACTTCATGAAGACTGGAGGATGAGAAAATGAAGTAAAGCCAGCACCTGACGCTTCCGTCCACCACATCTTAGGCCAAGGAAGATGCCGTTGGGGAAGAGTCCCATCCTCCCTTGGGATGTCAGAAGAGACCTTCTGAGAGTTTACAGACTGGCTTTGCTGCCCTTACAATTTTGAAAAACATTCAGAAGGAAGTGCTTCTTGGCTGCATAAGCTGTATCCATTAACCCACACAAAGAAATTTCCTTCCAAGCATTCATTGAAAGAGCGTTCGTAAAACGGTCTTGCAGACAAAAGTTGTCAAGAGCTGTTCAAGGGTTGGGGATTGTTGTTGGTAAGAATTGTGTGACACATTGGAATATTTTTCAGCCACAAAAAAGAAAATCCTGCCATTGGAATAAGTGGGATGGAGCTGAAGGACATTATGCTAAGCAAAATAAGCAAGACACAGAAAGAGAAATACCACATGATCTCACTTTATGTGGAATTTAAAGAACAGTCAAACTCCTAGAATCAGAGAGGATGGTGGTTGCCGGGATCGGGGGAGGGGGAAGTGGGGTGATGTTGGTCAAAAGTACAGCGTTTCAGTTATGCAAGATGAATAGGTTCTAGAGACCTGATGTACTGCATGGTGATTATAGCTAATAATACTGTATTGTATAACTGATATCTGCTAAGAGGATGCAGCTTAAATCTTCTCAACACACACACATACAAATGGTAAGTACAGAGACGTGATAGATACATTAATTAGCTGGATTGTGGTGATCATTTCACAATATATAAGTACATCAAAACATCAAGTTGGGGCTTTCCTGGTGGCGCAGTGGTTGAGAGTCCGCCTGCCGTTGCGGGGGACGCGGGTTCGTGCCCCGGTCCGGGAGGATCCCACGTGCCGCGGAGCGGCTGGGCCCGTGAGCCACGGCCGCTGAGCCTGCGCGTCCGGAGCCTGTGCTCTGCAACAGGAGAGGCCACAACAGTGAGAGGCCCGTGTACCGCAAAAAAACAAACGAAAAAAACAACTGCCCGAATCAATGCACTGAATCCCACACGCAAGCACGCACCAAAGAGAACTTTCCTCATCTCCCATGTACGTAAGTCAGGATAGTGGTTACCTTGGAGGGGTGGTGACCAGAGGAGGCATAAAAGGGGCTTTGGGGACGCTGGTGTTATTGATTCTCAATCTGGATGCTGGTCACACAGTTCATTTGTAAAAAATTCACATTGTACTGCATGATGTATTCACTGTTCTGTATGTATGTATGTATGTATGTTATATTCAATAATATGTTTATTTTAAGAACCCATTAATGAAAAGGCAAGCCGAAAGTAGGAGGAGATATTTGCAACACAGAAAAAGTATGCCGGTACATATATCACTTAGCTCTTTGCCAGCATGTTAAATTAAGGGCTTTTCCTTCTAAGATCTCTTCATCCTTCTCTAACTATGCATTTTTATGTGCTTCTATAGATATGTGTGATTTGAAAATAAATTATTCTTTGTGTTTATTGAATAGATTTTCCCTCATTACAAACTTTTACATGCAGATGAGTGGAAATTCTGCTCTTTCTCTGGGGAAATTTTTCAAATAATTTTGTTATGTTGTTCTTGGTTTCTTTCTTCCTCTAGTTAAAAGATTTGATCTATTTCTTTTTAAAGCTCTTTACCCGAAATTCTCAGTTTCTCTCCCTCCCTACAGCATCACAAAGCGCTAGGCGGTCAGGAGGAGACACACGCTGTCAGCACGCCCCACCTTGATTTGACGGAAGGAGAAACTGAGACCTTCAGTCCAGCTGCCTGATCAGGAGGCTGTGGATACAAGGAAGAGAGGGAGAAAACCTGGGTTCCTAACAGTCAAGTGCAGCCCCTTGCAAGGTCACAACCACCTTCTAATATCAGTACTTTTATAAAAGCGCATTTAGGACAAGTGAGCAAGTGACACTAAATCACGGCAGGTCACGCCCCCCGCAGACAGCCCGACAGCGCCCATTCAGCCAGGCGCTCATCAGAGCATCTTTACCGAGCCCACGGCAGTGACCCAGACGGCCAGGTCTGCATCTTGTGAAGCTCCCATTCCAAGGAGAGGAGACAGACAATACACAAGCCACCAAAGAAGCCAGATAATGTGAAGGAAGTAAACAGGGTGCTGAAAGAGTGACTGGGGAGGCCTCACCAAGGAGGCAACATCTGGAGGAGAATGAACCAGCGCCAAGGGAGCAGGGAAGATGGTTCCAGGCAGAGGGCAACGTGGGTGTGGGGCTGGGAAAGGGCTTGGCTTGTTCTGGGATTAGGAAGCGGCCCGCGTGGCCAGAGCACAGAGGCCGAGGGGCGGAAGCTGGAGGAGGGCATCCCAGCCATGGGAAGCCTCTGACTGAGAGCCATGGGAAGCCACTGAGGAGTCTTGAGCAAAAAACGGACGTGATCTGATTTGCATTTTAAAAGATAATTCTCATGGATAAACAAAGTGTGGTACACACATACAATAAGATATTATTCAGCCTTGAAAAAGGTAGACATTCTGACACATGCTACAACCTTGAGGATATTACGCCAAGTAAAATAAGCTGGTCACAAAAGGACCAACACTGTGTGATTCCACTTACGCGACATACCTAGAGTCATCAAGTTAATAAAGACAGAAAGTAGGATGGTGGCTGCCAGGGGCTGGAAGCAGGGGGAATGGGGAGTTACCGTTCAAAGCGTTCAGAGTTTCAGTTTGGGAAGATGAAAAAGTTCTGGAGGCGGACCGTGGTGACAGTTGCACAACAATGTGCATGTAATTAATGCCAGTGAAGTGTACACTTAAAAATACTTAAAATAGTAAATTGTATGTTATGTATATTTTACCACAATAAAAGAAAAACATTTTAAAGGTAATTCTACGTGCTGTGTAGAGGATGAACAGCAGGGTTGGGGCTTCAGAGATGAAGCTGAGAGACCTTCGAAGACTAAAGTGCTGAGGGCAGCCTGTCGGAGGGGTGGAGGCCTGACTAGGCAGTGGCCATGGGGGTGAGAGGAGCGGGCAGATGTGCCGTCCAGGTCATTCCAGACTTGGCCACGGACTGGACTGGGGAGAAGGGGAGGGAGAGGTCAGTATGTCTGTGACCTAACAACAAATGACAATAACAGAATACGAAATGCAGTAACAAGAAAGCATTCCCAAATAAGTTGTGCTAGCGTAGTATTTCATGTTTTCATTTTCAGAATTGTCTTTAACATTGTTGTATTAAAAAACGATGTATCTTGGCTTCCCTGGTGGCGCAGTGGTTGGGAGTCCGCCTGCCGATGCAGGGGACACGGGTTCGTACCCCAGTCTGGGAAGATCCCACATGCCGCGGAGCGGCTGGACCCGTGAGCCATGGCCGCTGAGCCTGCGCGTCCGGAGCCTGTGCTCCGCAACGGGAGAGGCCACAACAGTGAGAAGCCTGCGTACCGCAAAAAAACAAAACAAACAAAAAAAAAAACGATGTATCTTTTTTCCAACAAGATTTTAAAACCCACACATAAGGCCATTTACAGTCTCCAAACCCGGCCTGTCTCAGCACACAGGACACTGCATCAGACCCCCGTCCGTAGGGTCGTGTTCCAGTGGGGTCTGCTTCAGGAGCTCAGCATCCTCCTGACTCCCGGCTTTTGTCTGACAGCAGAGGGGAGCAAGTGCAGTCCCAACACTAGAAAACACGAGGCACCGAGACGGGTGCTTTAGGGAAATGATCTCGTTGAATCCTGGAGACAGCTGGGCATCCTCAAAGCTGTGTGCCCTGGGGCTGGGCATTTCCTATTTGTAAGCGTTAGTTTCCTGTCTGTAAAACAAGGATAACAATATCCTTTGAAGGGTTGCGGTGAGGAGCAAATTAAAGTATTTGAACAGTGTTTTCAACTCCGATTGTCTCTTTCTTTGGCCAGGACTGGGAGGGTCTGCTGGAGGTTATGGGGGCAAAGAACAGCAGCTAAGCTTCCCCACCTCAGCCAGCCTTTGTCACTACGGCTGGACAGGGAAGGATTTTATGAGTCATTGTGTGGCATGCACGTGCTACTTCTTAGTAAGAACGCCGTCATTATATACCCATTTTTTGTCTGGGGTGGAAGATCTTTTAAAACCCAGGCCCCCAGTCGCCTCCCCAGTGACCTGACCTCACTCCACCAGATGGAATGAGTCCTCCTTCTTCGTGCTGTGTCACTTATGAATACGCTTCATTATTGCACCTTCTATGTATTGATAAAAAACGACTATAACCACGTTCTAGACACCTACTTTGGCTGCTGGATTTGAGCTCTGTGAGAAAGGCATCCCCAGGGTGGGGGAGAGTAGAGAACAGGGCAGGTGCTCAACGAGTATTTGTTAAAATAAAATTGAAATAAACCAAAGTGACGTTCCAGCAAAGGAGCCATAACATGTTTCATTGTTATAAAAATTATATACATGGGACTTCCCTGGTGGCGCAGTGGTTAAGAATCCTCCTGCCAATGCAGGGGACATGGGTTCGAGCCCTGGTCCGGGAAGATCCCACATGCTGCAGAGCAACTAAGCCCATGCACCACAACCACTGAACCCGCGCTCTAGAGCACGGGAGCCGCAACTACTGAGCCCACGTGCCGCAACTACTGAAGCCCGCATGCCTACAGCCTGTGCTCCACAACAGGGCAAGCCACCGCAATGAGAAGGCTGCGCACCACAACAAAGACCCAACACAGCCAAAAATAGATAAATAAAAATTATATACATATACACATATATACATAATGGAATATTATACAGCCATAAAAAGAAGGAAATCCTGCCATTTTTGACAACATGGATGGACAATGAGGGCATTATGCTAAGTGAAATAAGTCAGACAGAGAAAGACAAATACTGTATGATCTCCCACATATATGGAATCGAAAACAAAATAAAACAATGACTTGTAGATACAAAGAACAGATTAGTAGTTGCCAAAAAAAAAAAAAGTAACCTGATCATAGGTCATAGAATATTTAGGGAATATTAGAAAGAAGGGGGAGTAATCCATTTTCACATCCCCCAGTGATAATTTTGGTAAACATTAACCCGTATTTCTTTTTTTTTATATATTTATTTATTTTATTTTTATTTATTTGGCTGCACCGGGTCTTAGCTGCGGCATGCAGGATCTTTGTTGTGGTGTGGAGGATCTTTAGTTTTGGCATGCGAGATCTTTAGTTGCAGCATGCGGGATCTCCAGTTGTGGCATGTGGGTTCTAGTTCCCTGACCAGTGATCGAACCCAGGCCCCCTGCATTGAGAGGGCGGAGTCTTAACTGCTGGACCACCAGGGAAGTCCCAACCTGTATTTCTTTCCAGTCATTTTTTCCTAGATGTGCTCTGTTTTTACATAATGATTTTGTAATTTATACATGCAATTTTTAAATCTGGCCTCTTTTAACATTATAACTGTTACAATATTTCATTCTTAAATCTCAAGGTCAGTTTTCATTCTTTTTTCCCTCTTTGTTCTGGATTATCCATTTTTCCAAAAATCATGTTTCCAAAATAACAATATAAAGAATTAATGTCTCGAAGCTTTCAAAATTGCTTTATCAATAAACCCTGTTTTTATAAATTGAATCTTATATAGAACTCCAATATACAAAGAGATAATACTTTATTCAAATAAAATCATTTTCTAAGTCAAAAGCCTGGTATTTGCTTGTGGTAACATCAGTCAATTCGCACACTAAGGCTATTTAGATGAAGACAAAATTGGAGCCTGGGGCTATATTACAGCCTCTGAGGAGCCACACCCACAGAATCACGGCACCCTGAACACCCTGGGATTCTGTGGCAGCTCCATAGAGAAGGAGACAGACCTGCCAGCTCCCCAGGAGCCTGGCAGATGGGTTTCCCTCCCCATGCCAGGCTGTGACCAGTCAAGACTTCCAGGCAGTTCCAGGAGCCTCCCTAATTCCGCCAAGTGAACGGAGGAGAGGAAGAAGCGTCTCTGAGGAACCCCATCTACCTCGACACTCACATAGGGTGACTTGGGGGATTGCCTTTAAACAAAGCAGCCACTTATCTCTGATTTTCCAGGGCAGAAGCTGGGATTTTGTCCTCCCCACCCCCAGCCTGATTTCTCCCTTCTGCCCCTCTCCTGTAGTCCCCTCTCACTCAGTCTGTGGTCAAGGGCTTCCCTGGTGGTGCAGTGGTTAGGAATCTGCCTGCCAATGCATGGGACACAGGTTCGAGCCCTGGTCCGGGAAGATCCCATGTGCCGCGGAGCAACTAAGCCCATGCACCACAACTACTGAGCCCACGTGCCACAACTACTGAAGCCCACGTGCCTGGAGCCCATGCTCCACAACAAGAGATGCCACTGCAATGAGAAGCCTGCGCATCGCAACAAAGAGTAGCCCCCGCTCGCTGCAACTAGAGAAAGCTCGGGTGCAGCAAGGAAGACCCAATGCAACAACAACAAAAATAATTTAAAGAAAAAAATCTGTGGTTGAACCTTCCAACAGCCTTTCTGCAGAGATGAGAGAGAAGGAAGAGAAGACGGTATATTTCCTTGTGTCTCTGCGTTTCGGGACAGGAAGCTAGCTCTGGTCAGAGGCCTCTTCTGCCGGCTGGAGGGAGGGCAGTGAGGGGCAGCAGTACAAGCTGGAGCATCAGTGCACACAGTTCCCACTAAAGTGACCTGAGGACACCGGACAGAAATAAATATGTCAGAGGTGTACAAAATACAGCTGTACCCGCCTCCCCTAATTTGTTTTATAACACAAAAATAAAGCAATTGTTACACAAGGATACTCCAATTCCTCTGGCAGAAACAACAGCAAATGATTAGGAAAGAGTTGTTTGTTGAGAAGTAGCTCTGGGATATTCAGCAAGCCTGTAAATGAGTTATTAACACCTGGTAGAGTGGAAGCTGAAATGCAATACGGGAATCTAAGAATCAGAATGGATAGAGCCTGGTCAAATCCAGGCCAGCTGCCCCTGACCCTCTGTCTGTCACCTCACCTCGGAGCAGGCTCCCACCCTGCCCTGCTCCTGTTCACATTTGTTGGTGCCCAGCACCCTCTACTGGCAACAAGAAAAGTCTTTCTTCTTCCAGAAATTGGCAGTTTTGTCACTTGGCAGGTGGTGAGCAACAGAATCCCTTTCTGTAGGGTTGCCCTTCCTGCCCAACTTGAGATTGCTGTCAGATTTTATTTTGATAAAATACTAAGTTCCAGTCATTTTCCACAACGACCTTCAAAGGCACCTACGTTGACAAGCAAAGGTTTCAAAGGCACTCCGTGGGATATGCCATATGATGGATGATGAATATATTCGGAATTCTATGCTTATTGTTTTTATAAAATACATCATATTAGGGCAGTAGTACATTCATTCGTTCACATTTTTTGAGCAGCTTCTATGTACCAGGTACTAGAAAACAGACAAATATTTCTGCCCTGATGGAGCTTATCCCTATGCGGGAAGGGGGGAGAGGGACATTTAATAAACAAGTAAAATAAATAGTATGAAATTGGTGGTACAAAAAAGAATACGCAGGAAAGGTACAGATGTGTGTGGGGGAGGGGTAGCTGCCTTTTTAAATTAGAGAAGTGGGGATATCTGGAGATAGAATGTTCTGGGCAGAGGGAAGTTGGTGCAAAGCTCTGGAAGCAGAGTGTCTTTGGTGTGTTGGGTTTGTCCAAGCAGCAGCAAGGAGGCCGCCTCGGCTGAGGTGGAGTGAGGCAGGGAGGAGATGAGGTCAGAGAGGGGTGAGGGCATAGACTGTGAAGGGGTTGCCGGGGATTGTAAGCAAGCACTTGGGCTTTTTTTTTTTTTAAGGGCTTCAAATGCTTGGCTTTTTTTTTTTTTTTTTAATTTTTGGCTGCGTTGGGTCTTCATTTCTGCACGAGGGCATTCTCTAGTTGTGACAAGCTGGGGCCACTCTTCATTGCGGTGCACGGGCCTCTCACTACCGCGGCCTCTCGTTGCGGAGCACAGGCTCCAGATGCGCAGGCTCAGTAGTTGTGGCTCACGGGCCTAGTTGCTCCGCGGCATGTGGGATCTTCCCAGACCAGGGCTCGAACCCATGTCCCCTGCATTAGCAGGCAGATTCTCAATCACTGCGCCACCAGGGAAGCCCAAGCACTTGGGCTTTTTATTCAGAGGCAGATGGGGCTCTATATAGATAAGTGACATGATCTGGGGTACACACCCCCAAGTGTTTTACTGATAGACATGCACAATTAATGTTTGGAAACTAGAGGTCTGCAGAATTAACTCTAAAATCAGCCCACTGTTTCCTTTCACTGAGACCCACATTGGAGGAGGCAATGTGAGCTGTCTTGAAAGATAAGAACTTCAACAAGCAGACATGACAGGCCTTCCTAGACTAATCGTCATTCCTTTGCTAAACCTCGAAGTGCAGCAAGTGATCTAGTTGGTAAACTGAGGTATCCAGCACTGGGGGCCTTCTCCGTACTGAATGCCCATTTTCATTGAGTATTTGTCTACACTCCTAATTCCTCACTCTCCTCCTTACTAGTCCTGATTCCTTACCCGAATCAGACTTCAAGTCGACAGACAGATGGCTTAGAGGGCCTGTGTGACACAGTGACACCTGGATTCCCCGTGTTCTAGATCAGACGCACAAGGAGTGTCATGAAGTTTAACAGCTGGTACCTTCCCGATTTTGATCAGAGCCAGCCTAGACTTGTTAATACCTGCTATTAAAATATTGGACTTTCTGGGAGGCACTTTTAATTTAGAAAACCCACTAACAGGCGCTGGTTCAGGTTGGTAATCTGAGAACATACATTTAACTCCTTCTTGCAAACTCCCACTTAAGTGACCAAAGGAATATAACAAGAAAACTCTGTATTAGTACTAGAAACTGAGGAGAAAGGCTGCTACCTTCAAATCAAAGTGTGAGCAAGTAAGTGAAATGAGTCAGACAGAGGAAGACAAATTCACAATCTGACTTATATATAAGGAAAAAAAATCAAGCTCATAAAGAGAGAGAGAGAGAGAGAGAGAGAGAGAGATCAGACTTGTGGTTACCAGAGGTGGAGGGTGGGAGAGGGGGAACTGGAGGAAGATAGTTAAAAGGTACAAATTTATAAGATTAAAAAGTACTAGGCAAAAAAAAAAAAAAAAAAAAGTACTAGGCTGTGATAACCTATATAAGAATCTAAAAAAGAATGAATAAATGTATACATATAACTGAATCACTTTGCTGTACACCCGAAAGTAATACAACATTGTAAATCAACTAAATTCCAATAAAATTTTAAAAAAATTTCTTTTAAGTACTAGGGATGTAACGTATGACAGGACTATAGCCAATACTGCTGCCTGGCATGTAGGAAAGTTGTTACAAGTAAATCCTAAGAGTTCCCATCACAAGAATTTTTTTTTCCTTTTTTCTTTTCCTTTTATTGTATATATTTGGGAAGATGGATGTTAGTTGAACCTATTGTGGTAGTCATTTCACAATATATGTAAATCAAATCATCATGCTGTATGTCTACAACTTACACAGTGATGTATGTCAACTATTTCTCAATAAAGCGGGAAATATAAAAGTGTGAGCCAGGGCTTCCCTGGTGGCGCAGTGGTTGGGAGTTCGCCTGCCGATGCGGGGGACACAGGTTCGTGCCCCGGTCCGGGAAGATCCCACGTGCTGCGGAGCGGCTGGGCCCGTAAGCCATGGCTGCTGAGCCTGTGCGTCCGGAGCCTGTGCTCCGCAACGGGAGAGGCCACAACAGTGAGAGGCCCGCATACCACAAAAAAAAAAAAAAAAAAAAGCGTGAGCTATTGGAATGGACCCCAGCAGAAGCTCATTAACATCCCCACCCGTGGACCAGTGAAAGCTGGACAAACTACAGCACATATAATGAGGTCAAGATGGTCAGTCTCTGTTCACCGTGAACCTCCTTACTTCCGGTCTTTAATGCTACAAGGGGCAATTTCAGAATTATGATCTTCTTACTTTGCCAGTCAAGGTCATTTTTCTTTGGGGAGCAGGGTGAGGGCTGCTCACACTTCCACACTCAGTGAAGCAGGGCACAGCTGGAGCTGGCAACTGAAGGGCATAACCATGCCACTTGGGAAAGGGGCACTGGCCCAGCCAACTTCATGCTGCCACAACAGAAAAATTCTTTGGACACGGCTGCCCAAATCTCTCACACGTGAAAGAACCTCTAATCTGACAAAGTAAACCTCCACTAAATCTAAACTCTCCCCTTCCCGCTTTGAGTGTGCTTTTTAAGATTTGCACAGGTACCCACATAATTTGAAGAAAATGGATTTCAACTACCTGAACTAGAAAAATAATCCTAAGCAACAGAAGAACATACTGTGGCAACCATGAATAAATACCCTTCAGATGCCCTGGTGGAGAGCACCATTGACTGATGGTCCCATCGGCTGCCCCCTGGATCCACCAAGTTCACCCCAGCCTCCACTTCCCGGGGACTCTTTCTAGCCAATGAGCATGTGGGGTACTAAGGCAGGCCCATTCACCGAGATGCTGGATTCCAACAGATGACTTTGGCTTGAGTCTCCATCCGCCTGGCCGAATCTTTCTTGGAACTGTAGTCCGAGATTCTTCCTATCTCCTTTCTTCCCTCTCCCTCCATGGGTGTCAAACCTAGATCTAAAGCCTCTCCCTACCTTCTCTGGCACCAGCCCCCAGCCCCAGCCCCCAATGAATTCTTGTATATCTAATCCCATCCTAGCAGACCTAAATGCATGCACATGCAGACATACTAAAAAATCGAAAAATTGTAAAGAAATCAATTTGAGGGATTAGAGGAAAGGTGCCCTTATGAAAGAGAAACAGTAAACACAGAAGACCCTAAAGCACATGCATACCGAGTTTCAAGAGAACACATCTAAAAACAGAAGCAAGTAAGCATGAAGAGGGACTAATCTGAGAGTGAGAAAGATTCTCTAAGGGAAAAACCTAATTGTTGACAAATACAGGAGGAGTGGTAAACAGCAGATTGGATGTGGCGAAATATCAGGTTCCATGGAAACAGAGCAGAGAATGAAGGCAAGAATCAAATAATAGGAGAATAATGGTCTAAAATTAAAAGGCTAGTCTTCAGACCTCAAAAAGGTTACCCAACACTAAGAAATATTAAGGAAGAGACCATACCTAGAAATAACATGGTGACATTTTAAAATCTAAAGGATAAAGATATAGAGGTATCTATCTACGAGAAAAATTCACATTGTACACAATACAAAAGAAACTCAAAATCAGACAGAAAGCTTCTCTTCTGCAATACTCTATCCCAGAAAACAAAAGCAAATATCTATTGTTTTTAAAGGAGAAGATTGTAAGCTAAGGATTTGATATCCAGTCACGGTATCACATATGCAAAGGTAACAGAAAAACACTGCCAGGAATGTGACGGTTCAGAAAGTGCACCACCCATATACTCTTTATTTAAAGAAAAAAAAGAAAGAAATTAAGAATACCAGCAGAAGACAAAAAAAATAGTAATAATTAAAGAACTGGGGCTTCCCTGGTGGCGCAGTGGTTGAGAGTCCGCCTGCCAATGCAGGGGACATGGTTTCATGCCCCGGTCCGGGAAGATCCCACATGCCGCGGAGCGGCTGGGCCCGTGAGCCATGGCCGCTGAGCCTGCGCGTCCGGAGCCTGTGCTCCGCAACGGGAGAGGCCACAAGTGTTAGAGGCCCGTGTACCGCAAAAACAAAAACAAAAATAACAAAGAACTGGCCAGACTATGTAGTATGATACTGGAACATTAATTTGGGCCCAAATAAAAACTGAGACGTTACAAAGGGAAGGGAAGGGAGTGGAGTGAAGATACGGTAAAAAAAATAGCAATTAAGGGGAACCAGGAAAAACAGAGCGGTGTCTCCGTAAGGTTGTTTCTATCATCATGAAACATGGTAATGTCCAAAATATTCCTGAAAGAAGATAATAAAGAAAAAAATGCACTTCTTTTTGATTCCTTAGGTAACTATTTACTGTCCAGTTTTGCCCAAGGCATTTCATTGAACACCTGTTTTCTGTGTAATAACCATACTTCTATATAAACAGAGAGCCCCTGGTAATACCGTGAAGGGAATTTTGGCAGTGGCTTTCTCCTATACAGGAACACCGTTTGAAAAATCAGACAAAATCAATAGCTAAGCACATCTAATAAATGCTGTGCAGAGTTTAGCCCATTACATTTATGCCTTATGTAATCTTCACAACCCTACAATTATTCCTTTTACAGCTGAACAGACTGATTCCCAGAGAGGTTAAATAATTTTTCCAAAGTCACATAGCTTGTTAAGTGTATGAGCTAGGACTGGAAATATCTCCAAATCCAAGTTCTCCATCACTACACTAAAATGCTTCATTTTCTCCAGAATAAAAGCACTTACACACAAAATTGTGCCCATAATTTTACTTGTAGTTTTACAGACAACCCTACTGAGTTGTTAGGAACCATTAATACATGTGTATGAACAATTTCACCACGTAAAATCATCCCTTCATAACTCAAAATATATGGACTCTTGCAATTCAGTTTAGAAAGATATAGATACACACACATCTGTAATGCAGTACTAGAGGTTCTGCTCCTAATATGGCTGAGCAGCTTCTTTTGGACCAACCCTCCTGTTGTTAATAGGTATAAACTCTGGACAAAATACAAAAAACAACTAACTGAATGCACTGGAGAATGACCAGAAGCAGGCAGAGTTCACACTTCAAAGAAAAGAATAGCACTGCGGAAGTCTCCCACTTTTACAGTTTTTAGTCCCTACTCTATACCTTGCCAGGCAGCTAGAACTCTGATGGAAAAATTGCAGAGTATTGTTGATAAGAATTCAGGGAAATCACAGCTGCAGGAAAGTGAGGG